CGAGGGCTGCCATATGACACTACTTCTTTAGACCAAGCGATTTTATTTAAATTCGGCGCGTATTACGCTACAATAATGGATTCAGCGGAACGGCGGCGTATCGAAAATAGCGGAACGTCCACGATTGGTCAAATTTTCGATACGCGCGATCCGCGATACGCGCGATACGCTCCATGGGACTGCACCCTAAGGGTGAAGTCCCATCAGGCATGTTTGCCGCGTATCGCGTAAGCGCATAACCAATCAATAATCAGTAAAACGCGAAACTATAACAGCAGATCGCTTCTGATTGGTTACGCGGTTATGCGATACGCGATAAATACACCTCATGGGACTCCACCCTAAGAGTGAAGTCCCATCAGGCATGTTTGCCGCGTATCGCGTAAGCGCATAACCAATCAATAATCAGTAAAACGCGAAACTATAACAGCAGATCGCTTCTGATTGGTTACGCGGTTATGCGATACGCGATAAATACACCTCATGGGACTCCACCCTAAGGGTGTAAACTCATGCAGCGGAATAGCGTAATGCGGAACGAGAGCGGAATCAATCACAAGCATTCTGCACCAACTGCAATTGACTGCAATTGATGCGGAATGCTTGTGATTGGTTCTGCTCTCGTTCCTTGTTACGCTATTCCGCTGCATAGGTGGGCACCCTAAGGGTGAAATCACACGGTGTGGAAAAAGACTGCGGAATAGAGAATGCGTCATTGAAGCAACCAATCCGCGCTATTCCGAATAGCGCTGAATAGCGTTGATTGGTTGCTTCAATGACGCATTCTCTATTCCGCAGTCTTTTTCCACACTGTGTGATTTCACCCTAAAGGTCCGTCTATAATACACATAAGATTTGTTCGCGTCGCATACTCCAACACGTTCCAATATGCTCCTACCATAGCTCTTACTCACTCCAACGCGTTTGATAGAATGAATACGAGCTATGGTAGGAGCATGTTGGAGCATATTGGATCTTGCGACGCGAACAAACCTATAGTAAGCTTGGTTTAAGAAGTAAGAGTAAGAAATTAACCAATCACAGTCGAATGTGAGAAGAATAATCGACTGTGATTGCTCAATTTCTTACTCTAATGGCGAATTCGATTGGAAGAACTAGTGCGCACTGATGCATATTAAAGCCGTTGTACACTAATTTAATTTAAGTATAAAAATGAAATGCAAATATTTCGAATTACGAAATACATATTTTACCTAATAGTACAATAAAATGTATTAAGTATTTCACGATTTAATCGATCTCTATGTTTATTTATAAACATATTTTTACGTTATTTCGTGTACGACGGCTTTAATGTGCACCAGTGCGCACTGAGTGCGTCCAATCGAATTCGCTATTACTTCTTAAACCAAACTTACTTCGCATATTGTAGACGCTTAATATGCCCTTGTTTGATATTAATTTGGTTTTCGTTCATTAGCGCCTCTACAAAGTATGGACATGAACTATGTAGTCATGTGCACGAATATAATTTCTGATGGTAACATGACTTGACATGACTAAACTTTATGTCCACATTGTTCATGATTTTTTTGTTCTGTTCCGTTATTTATTATCAAAGTTTTATTGTCAATTTATAACTTTGCCTTATATTTTCTAAAATCAAAATTCGTTAAGAATTAAAGCGTCTCGGCCGAATTTTATCCACAAAAGTGTTTTTCCATCTATCCGTGCTCCGGTGGCACGGATTAAAATTGTTCAAAAAATTTGAAAAAAATATGGTGTTATTTTTTCGAGATATTGAACTACTTTAAGGAGTGTCCCGATTAAATTTCAAAAATTATTAAAATAACGACCACCCTAATATGTATATACAACATTTGTTCGTGAAATTTAACATTCGTGTCTTATTGTTAAATGCTACGAAGTGACAAGTAAATTTAATATATTTTTGCGAAATTGCAAATTTTGTATTATAGCTGGCTCTAGAATTCGCGAAACGTCTTATTTTATCTCGCTTTTAAGATGAAACATATTACAAAGTACATAATTAAATATTTATTAAACGAATTCTTAAGGTGATAGTTGTTAACTCGCTACCGAAATAGTTGCTATTGAGAACAGTCCGGAAAATCTGGGATTTG